TGTTACCCAGAAGAAGTGCTGAGCTTGAGGCCTGCTCTGTGTTAAAAAGGGAGGCAAGGCATGGGGCCAAACTGGCTTCTAACCCTGTCGGCATCATCACGATCAGGAGAAGGGCAAAGGTCAAGCTTTCCCTCCTGAACCAAGTCAGTGTCCCTAAAAAGACTGCTTCTGCCCATTGTCATTGTGTGCCACTTGCTCCTCTGACACTTTTGGAAGCTTCTCTGCAGGAAGAAGAGGGGGTACTCCTTGTAAGAGCAAAACAGCAGTGGCTTTGGGTTCTAATGTGTACATTTCTTATACGAACGCTTGTAAATTACTTTCTCTCTCAGTCTCAGCGAGGAGGGAAGAGCTAAGTTATTGAAGGAGGCAAACATTGGCAAAGTGCTTTGCAAACCACTTGGTTGGGAGCATATTGTTAGCTGAAAGTGTTTGCATAAAATGCCCCACGGCTATCCTTCAAACCCAAGACTCTAAAGAATTGTTCATTACAAGTGCTACGGACTGAATGTGTGTCCCTCAAAATCTGTATGTTGAAACCTAACCCCCAATGTGATGGGATAGGAGGTGGGGCCTTTGGGAGGTGATCAGGACATGAGGGAGGAGCCCTCATGACTGGCATTACAGCCCTTATCAAAGAGGCCCCAGAGAGCTTCAGTTTCTTCCACCATGTGAGGAAACAGTGGCAAGACACTATGAAGCAGAAAGCAGGCCCTCACCAGACATCAAGGCCCTCACCTTGATGTTGGAATTCCCAGCCACTAGAACTGGGAGAAATAAATTTCTGTTGTTTGCAAGTACCCAGTTTATGGTATTTTGGTATCACAGCCCAAATGGACTAAAACAATGAGGGAGGCCAGAGCAAGGAAACTAATGTTAACCAGGAAGACTTCACAACAAGGTCCTCAAGAATAGCTAGGTATTCCCCAGGGGAGGGAATCCCAGGCAAGGTGGCAGTCATGCAGAGACCCAGAGCTGGAAGAAGGGTGGAGAGGCTGAAACTTGGAGTTAGGGCAAGATGGGAAGAGAGATGAAGTCAAACAAATGAACAGGACTCAGATCCCACAGAGCCTTCAATGCTGATCCAAGGAGCCTGGACTCTATGCACAGGCAGTGGGAGATGCAGAAGCATGACAGGATGAGATCTACATTTTGGACAGATTTGATCACTTTGACAGAAGTCTGTAAGAGGGGATACAACGGTGACATGGCACTATAGGGAGGACTGGCTGAGGAGGGATAAGCCTGGAGAACCAGGCAAGGTGCCATGTGGCAGACTGAGGAGCAGTCAGGCCTGGGAGGATGAGGGGTCAGGAAGTGTAGCAGCCGCCCAGGGGAAGATGATGGTCTGAGACTGTCAATGGCAGTGGGGTTGGAGACTGGAGGATGCTCTGGGTGTATTGGACAGGACTTGGGGAACTTGGGTGAATTTTGCACCCTTGACCTTGACAACATCAGAATTCATTCATCCCCAAAATATTTATTAGCACTGGGAATATGGCCCTGGGAATAGGGCTGAGAGGCAAGTGGGGTACCTAGGGCACACAATTTTGGGAGGTACTCCGTCTCTGGGCTGTGTGATAGAGAATCTGAGGTTGAGAGTCAGTGCCTCCTTAAATGCTGTGCTCAAGGCACCTTTCTTGCCTCATTCTGACAAGAGCAACAGGCTACTCTCATGGAGTTTATGATCTAATCAAATTTACAGACAACATGCAAATAACCCATGAAAGTGATTTTGCATCATGGTAAGAAACACGAGGAAGACACCAAGGTGTGGCATATGTCTGTGGGGCAGTGGCCAGGTGGGGCAGGCCCTAGACCTTGCGAGGGGCCTGGGATGCATCCTCATCGCGATGGGAGCTGCCGGAGGGCAGGAACCCTGAAACTGTCCTCACAGGGCTCACAAGAATCATATGCCAGGCTCTGGTCAGAAATACATTTATAATTAAGTGCTAATCAGACTGCCCTTTGGCCTACTTCCTTGTAACCGAAAGTCACACAGCACCAGGTACTGACCATTTGCACCCCTATTGTTCCTGTAGATAGGATTTCTGATGTTAGAATCATAAGGCTTTTTCTTTAAGATTTGCTTAAGATGCTCTTCAGACTCTAAATTGCAGTGGAAGAGCTAATGCCAACCAATTTAAAGACCCCCGCAGAGGAACCAAATCAGCGCAAGAAGGCAGTTTCTTTAGCTCCCTGTTACATGAATTCACCTGGCACTCTTCAACTAATCGAAGATCCCCACACCTCAGCCCACTCTGAACCCCTTAAAATTCCTACCCGCAGACCCCTCGGGAGACAGATTTGAGGTTTCCTCCTATCTCCTTGTTTGGCTGCCCTGTGATTTTTAACCTCTGTCTCTGATGCAACCTCTGTGTCTCATTATATTGACTTGCTGTGCATTGGGCAACAAACCTGTGATGGTTACAATACAACACAATTTGGCTCCCATATTTGTACAGCATTTGGCTACACGAGGAGAATGGACTGAAGGGGGAAAACTGGGAAGGCTGGAGGCCACAGGGAGGTCATGGCCATCGTCCATGCAAGAGAGGGTGATGGCTTGGACTGGGTGTTGGCCATGGGAATGGGAGGAAGAGGATAAATTTGGAGACTGTTTCTGAGACAGAGCAGCTGGGACCTGCTGTTGGAGTGGAGACATGGAGAAAAAAAGGACAAGAGAGGATGGATGTAAAGGCACCTGAAAGAACAATTTCAGTGTCTCCAGCTCAGAACTCGCATTGAACAACATACGTTTCTAACGTTTTCTGTTTCTGCCCTTGTTTGGCCATCTGCCTTCTGGTTGATGAAGCTGGTGTGAGGCCTTCAGTTGCTGTCCACAGTGGTTTCTCCTGTCAGAGTCATCTTGGGTTAGGATGGCCAAGGGAGTCAAGGATGAGGAGATGCAGGGTGTTCCTGAAGCTTCATGGGGATGAAAACATCTTTTTAAGCCCTTCATTAATGAGAAATGTCCTCCCATGGGCAGGGAGAGAGCTTTGTGTTTGTGTGAAAGTCCATTAAACTTCATTATTTAGTTGGGAAGATCCTGCTGGGAGCTGGGGAAGGGAAGAGAATCCATTTTCCCTGAGGGCTGAGGCCCTCTGAAGGGTGAAAGAAAAAAGTCCAAGTTAAAGAAAGGAAATAATCTCCTTCAAACAGCAGGTAGACCTGGCAGGAAACGTTAGCCCTGAGTGGAAGAGATAGAGATTCTGGTAAGAAGGGGGCATTGTGTAGCTTTAAGAGACACAGCTTCCACCCTTGCTTCCTCACTTGAGGGCAGCTGCTTGCATCTGTGGATCTGGCTTTTCTGCAGCAGCCTGGCCAAGGATTTTTGGGACTGGGGCTGGGTGGGGGTGGGAGCCTTGCCTCCCCGACCTCTGCTAGGATAAGTAAACAAGCAGGCAAGGACAAAGGCCAAGGGCATTAAATCCCAATTATTCACTAGCCCTAAATACTTCCTGTGAGAACAATTTGTCATTGACATACTTAATTAGACTCTTGACCAATATTTTCCAGATGTGGGGATTCTTGCTAAAAAAAAAAAACAACAAAACCTCAAGCACAGATGTTTTCCATATTTAATAGGACAGCTGAGGCAAACCCTTGGGGAAGGAAAAGAATAGGAGAGCTACAGGCGCTGCCATCATAGCTTAGTGGATCAGGAAAGAGGATCTATTGGCCTTGGGGTCTTTCAAAACAAATAAATGCTGGCAAAGACAGAGGTCACCAGGGGCTATCTGCTGTGGCCACGGCCCTGGGCTTCCACATCCTCTGAACTTAGAGCATCGCTGACATTGGAAAACTCTGGGTCCATTTTACATATGTGGGCAACTGAGGAGGAAAACTCTGAGAGACCATGAGTTTGAGAGTCAGGATTTGAACCCAAGTCCCTAAGTCCTGGAGTGAAAGAAGCAAGTCAGTCATGTTTAGCAGGATACCACGGAGCAGGATACCTATTTCCTTTGGAAAATAGGGCTTCAACAGTTACATATTCTTCCACACCACTAATCCGGGGCCAGTCCTGGGATGAGGCAAGCAAGAGACCCCTGAAAGCAAGCTTTAAGGGGGTGCTTAGTCTCAGGTGCCCACCCCTGCACTTGTGTGTCTCTGAGAGCCAGCACTTCCTTAAATTTTGCATCTTGGGTTCTTCATTTGTCTCATCCTAGTCCTGTCCCTGAATTTCCATCATTGTCCCAATCTTGTCTTCCTTGACTTCTCACCTAGATTTATCCAGTTGCCTCCTAACTGGTCTTCTGCCCTGTTTTTCCTCCTCATCTATCTACCCTCCACTGCGACAGAGAGATCTTCCTACAGCCTGAACTCCATCCCTGCACTCCCCGGTACAAAACCCTCCCAGAACTCCCGATGGCCCTTGGGACTAGGTCATGCTTCTTAGCAGGACATTTAAGGCCTTCCATCCTCAGCCCTGCTGGGCTACCTGTGAGCCTCCTGCCTTCTCTGCCTCCACCCCACAGTCTTACTCACACCCTGCAACTAGCCACAGGACTGTTTGTGCTTTCCCTAGTACATCTGGCTGCTATCCTGGCCTCTGTCTCTGCAACCCAGGTGATCCCGTGGCTGAGAACTCCCTGCCTCCTCTCCTCCCACTCTGCCCCCACTGCGGCTCCTTAACCAGGAGAGCCTCTGTCTTCAAGACACAACCTTTTCTGGCCAACCCTGCTCCCTGTAGACTCTCTCCTCCTGCTTTGTGTCTACACTGTGCTCCACGCATGGGCCTCTTGTGGCAGCCAGAATGCCTGACTTGTTCACCGGGCTGTCGCCATGGGGCAGTCCATCCCACGAGGACTGCCACATCCCCCTTCTTATTCCTCCCTGCTCCTCTGTGGAACAGACTGAGCCAGGCAGTGGCCACTTGTTTGCTGACTGAATTAATGAGGTAGTTGGGGTGGACGCTCACCACACTCTATAGATGAAGAAATAGGCCGGTCTAGCAGAGATCACAAACTCAAGTACCCCATAGGAACAGGTGGGAGCTGTACCTGAGCGAGGCACGGGGATTGCTCACCATGCATCGGGGCTGCTGGTCCTCTGCTGGGGCCCACGGTTGTCCTGTGCAAAGTGTCACTTGTTGTGGCTGCATCCATCATCTGGATGAGTTATAAAAGGCAAGACAGGAAGATTATATTTGACAACAAGTTGAAATGATTTAAAACACTCTGCATGCAGCCCAAAGCAAATCCACCTGTGTGCGAGTCAGTTTCCACCTGGGGGCTGCTGGTGTGCGACCTCTGAGAGGTTGGGTGATTGTTTCATGCATCTCAAAGCCAGGCCTTCCTCGGACTCTCTGCCCAGCACTCTCTGTACCTTCCTCTCCTCACAGCTCCCATGGCAGGAACAAACAGGTGGCATTTGAGCAAGGGGCAACAGTCAGGGACCTGCATCCCTCCGGCCCTCCCAGTTGCTCACGCCTCTTCCCCTCCCTTGGTCATGGGGCTGCTGCCTCCTTTACATTGTGACTCCCGTGGCATTTGGAGATTGAACTCGATAAAGCTCAGAAGGAAACTGGGATGCAAAGAGAAGAAGGTAATCATGGGGTCACATTTTCCTGTGCTTGTGAAATGACCTGCTTTGGCCTAGGATAGTTTCTATCTGTTTTATACCTTTTATTCCTTTAAAATTCTCAAATTGTCAAAATCCTACCTCGGACATGTGGCTAAAAGGGACAACCTTGCCCAACACAGCAATCTGGTGAACAATCACTTGTCCTCTTTTTTTTTGGCAGAACCCCACCAGAGAGAGAGGGGGAGAGAGAGAGAGAGAGAGGGTGTGTGTGTGTGTGTGTGTGTGTGTGTGTGTGTGTGTGTGTGTGTTTAAAGAACAATCTTCATTTGATTATCCAGGCCTGCGATCAGGAAACCTGGGTTCTAATCACAACAGTAGTCCCTTCCATGCTCTGAGATCTTGAACAAGTCTCCTCCTTAGTAAAATGAGTGTGCGATAGAGTTTTACAGGTGATTCTGAGGGTAGCAGAGTCCCGTGTGGAAAAGCACATGATACACAGACTGCGATGTGGAGCAGGTGCTCAGTTAAGGACTTGTTGAATATGAGTTAAGGAACAGCAAAACTGGAAGGAATACTAGATATCGACTATAACGGTGGTCGATAATCTATAACCGATGGGCCAAATCTGACTTCATGCTTGTTTTTGTAAATGACGTTTTATTTTACAAACTCATTTACATATCATCTATGGCTATTTTTGTGCCACAACAGCAGAGTGGAGTAGTTGTGACAAAGACTGCATGGCTTGCAAAGGCTGAAATATTGATTGTCTAGCCCTAAACAGAAAAAAGTTCACCAACCTCTGATCTGAATTCCATTCAGTGTGTGTCCATGGAGCAACAGTGTCAGCCTCATCAGAGAGCTCATTAGATGTGCAGAATTTCAGGCCCCCATCCAGACCCACAAAATCAGAATCTGTATTTTAATTAGATCACCATCTGAGTCATATGCACATCAAAGTTTGAGCAGCACAGTTCTGGGTCTAGAGATGCATTCATTTTCCACATACTGCTGTTGCCCAGCAAGATGAAGTGATTTGCCCAGGACAGAACCAAGACTAAGAACTGCTCTCCTAATTTTCATCCCTTTCCTACATCTGCCGTGCCAAGTTTTGTCTCCTCTTTTCCTCTCTGGAGCCTCCTGTTTTCCATCTCCTTCTCGACCATCTATGTGGCACCCAATGTGTAAAGCGTGCTTGGTCAGCATCCATTGTTGGACTTGCTGGTGAGAGCAGCTCAGGTTCTTTGAGACCCTGTGCTTTCAGCTGCACTACAGTTTTCCCAGATAAGGAGATTGAGGCACAAAGAAGTTATGGCACTTACTGAAGGTCATGGGGTCGGGATTTGAGCACAGCTGTCTGACCCAGGAGCTTGGAGGTCCTGTCATTGCATGTCCACAAGCTTGTTCTGTCTCTCTCTCTCTCTTTCTCTCTCTCTCTCTCGCATGGTGAGCCCTCAGCTTATCCCTGTACTTCCACATGGTGAAAACACTTTAGGAAATAACTTGGTTACCCCATTCTTTCATCTCCCGCTAATCCAGGGGTTTTCAAGCCAGAGTTTTATAAAAGGAGGGGACTTCTTCCTTGAAGAAATGGTCAAGACCACGTGAGACTGGAACATCTTGCTGAGCCAGAGAAAAAGGAGGCCCTATCAGGTAAATATGATCATATCAGAAGGACAGGACAGCTAGCTTGAAGGAGCTCCCACTGACCAAATTTGGGATGATTTGATTAACAAGGTAAATAATGAAGGGAACATATTTTAACATATTAATTTAAAAATATCCATGACTCCATAGCAGCATGCATATAATCTCCAAAGAGACCATCTGAGCAACCTGCAGATCAAGTAAAGCAATATTTATAAGATCTACTGCAGTAAAGGACACCATCTTGATAGAGTCTCAGAAGGGGAAATACAGGGAAGAACATTTGTAGCATTTTAGGGCCTGGTATAGGTGATATTGAGATTGCATGTAGGGTGATCAGCTGTCTCAATTTGCCCAGGGCCTTGATGGTTTTAGAGTTGAAAGTCCTGCATCCTGCGAAAGCCCTCGGATCACTGTCTTTTTTTTTTTTTTTTTTTAAACTGAGTTTTGCTCTTTTCATCCAGGCTGGAGTGTAATGGTGTGACCTCGGCCCACTGCAAACTCTACCTCCCAGGTTCAAGCAATTCTCCTGCCTCAGCCTCCCAAATAGCTGAGATTACCGGCACATGCCCCCAGGCCCAGCTAATTTTGTATTTTAAGTAGAGATGAAGTTTCACCAGGTTGGCCAGGCTGGGCTTGAACTCCTAATCTCAGGTGATCTGCCCACCTCAGCCTCCCAAAGTGCTAGGATTACAGACAACAGCCACCACGCCTGGCCCTCAGATTACTTAGTCATTGTGAAGGAGAAAATGTGTCTTTATAATAGAGAGAGATGATGTAACAATTTGAACCAACTGGTCAAGTCTTAGAGCTGCCCGTAACAGGATGGCCTGGCATACTGTGCCTCCTGAGAGGACACAGTGGGAGGCATACAAGCCACCCATGCAGTGGTCTTATTGGAAACGTTTGGCCTGAATGTTTGAGTTGAATAACGGGAAGATAGCTGAATGCAGAAAGTACATCTGTTCTGGAATCATGACAGTATTTAATGAGGGGGGTACAAAAATTAAAAAGTGAAATGCAATCTATGTACCTTTACTGAATCCTGGAGAAAGGAAGAAGAAACAAAAAGAAGGAAGGAAAGATGGAAGGAAGGAAGAAGACAGTTTTAGAGAACATTTGGGGACAATCAAAATATATTGAACATTGCATGTTAGATGGTGTTATTGAATTAATTCTGCTTTTCTGATGTGAGATTTTTTTTCTGCTAGTGCCTTGATCTTGGACTTCTCACCCAGAATAGTAAGAAATCAATGTCTGTTGTTTAAATCACCCAATCTGTAATATTTTGTTATAGCACCCTGAATGGGCTAAAATAACCCCCAAATTTACAGCCCATTCTCTAAAAACTGACTGTTGCTCTGGCAAATGGCTCACTTGAGTTAGGATTTTTAATTTATTTGGGCAGAAGTTTGTCAGTATCATTTAGAAAACACAATAGATGTCCGTCATGCTGCTCCAGAATGAAACGCTGTTATAGTGAGTTGCAGAAAAGCCACACCGGTGAGAACAGGGCAGTGAATCAGTGCACCTGTTGGGGTCCGTGTCGGGGGTGGTGGAGAATGAAAGAACACACAAAAGACAAAGACACATAGAGAACATGGCGGCCGTGTTCAGAGTCTTTGTCTCATTTTATTTATACTTTATAAACCCCACGTCAGTAGAAAGAATGTAATGTAAAACAAACTTTCTTTTCTCAGATGTAACCTTCTACTCAGTTCCTTGTTTCTATGCTCTTCCTTATCTGCCCGCCTTCTTGGCGCCTACGGGAGTTCATTAAAAGTTTAATTGGAAATACTGTCCTTGAGCCCTATCTATTCTCAGCATACTGTTTTCAAAGGCCCCTGCATTTTTTCCTTTTTGTTTTTGTTTTGTCTTAATTTTAAAAAGGTAGTCCATATTTGTTTTTGTGGTTTTTTTTGTTTTTGGAGGCGACGGAGGGAGTATTGAATTACTAAAAGAAGTAGACCCAATTTAAGTGCCCAAAGTAATATACTTTTAGAGATTGTAGAAATTTATGTTTTTATTTGGGTTTATGGGTTAAAGGCAGTAAGGCGTTGACCCGGTTTTTGTAGGGTTACGGTTTTAGACAACATATGTAATTGTTGTCGAAATGTTTTGGAAATGTTTTGAGTGAGTTTTTGGATGTTCAAACTAATATTTTTATGGCCTACTAATAATTTTTGGATTACGGTTTAATTTTGAGAGATGTTAAAAGGCATAGGCGTTACACAAAATTGAGTGGAGTTTTAATTACATTGTAATGTCATTTGAGTACTGAGTACAGTGAGCTGATTTTTAAGCCATGTTAATGTTTGTTTTATGTTGTCCAATTTTTTAGTAAGTTGAGAGTCAATGTTTTGTTGTTGAAGTCATAACCGGTGAGATTGTTTGTGTCATTGTTGTACAAATTTAGTATTTTGTATACTTCGATGTAGAGTGAGTCCTGTTACGGCCGTAGTGGAGACGATGGTGACAAGGCTCATCATTGAGGCAATTATAAGTCTAAGGGCATGGCGGGTTTGTTGGAGAGAAGTCCAAGTATAAGTTTTAAGAGGTGATGCCCCCCACGGTTGTGTAAGGTTAACAGGTAGTCAAATTTTTTTATGAGTCCTGAGGATATAAATATTTTTAGTAAAGTTATGCCACCAAGAATGATTGAGGCAAGACAAAAATGTACACGTATTTGTACAATTAACAATTTTTGTATTATTATTACATGTTAAATTTTTTGTTAATAATAGGTAGGGCTTATGGACACAAGTAATAATATATTGGGAGGTATTTTGATATAACTGAATATGAAAGGAGTTATTTGGGTTAGAAAGATTAAGGGACATATTTTTCACAAAAGTGTTAATGGCATTCTGTGTAGTTAACAACTTTTAAAGATGAGTTTGTACTTTAGGCCTTTTTTACGTTGTATTAAGGTTTTATT